TAAGACGAATTCTTTTTCCATGCCGTCAATGATCTAGGACACTGAGCTATGAGGTTGAAGCTTCAGCCGAGGCAGGACACTAGTCAAATGAGTTCGAACGGCGAAGTCCACATAGTGTAGTGGCAAGAAGTAGGAAAAGGGGCGGGCGATAACGTACCTGCGACGAGAACGGTAGTTATTTTGTCTCCGCAATGGCTACGATTTCGTGGCAGCTAATGGACTGGGAGCGATATGGTGGCAATGGAGAAATGCGCAGACGGTTGTCCCAGCTGAAAACCCTTCGGAAACTCCCGTCGCTGGCTTTCGCATATCGGCCACGTAGATCTCACTCGAGATGATGTCATGGCTGTCGAGTGGAACCTGCCAAGTTAGGCGCTCGAGCGAGCAAACCTACAAAACACGGCTCGTCGCCTCCTCCACCACAGATCACGACTCGCAACCCCTGCATTACCTCCAACTCCCCTCATCAACTTCACTACGATGCCCGACAACTTCACAGACGACAAGAAGTCCGTCGTAAACTCGCCTTCCGACCTCCCGCCTCCCCGCGAGCGCAAGGCCGTGCGCGACGACGTTCCACTCCCCTTCTCTCGAACGCCCCTTCACCGCTTCAACTACTACCTCGCCCTCTTCGCCGCCCTCCTCATGGCCTTCTACGGCTGGCGCATGCTCCAGTGGAAGGCCGAGTACGGCGGCTGGTGGAACCTCGCCCTCGGTCACCGACCCCCAGGCGCCGCACAGACCCTGAACAACTCCGGGGCTAGCGCAACACCCAGCGCAAGCTCGACAAACGGAGCGTACGCCTCACAGGGTTCGACGGGGAACCCGTCTGTGGAGGACAAGATCCAGGAGCTGGCCGCGGCGCTGGGCATGCCGTCGTCGGACCTCTCTGCCGCCATTGCGAGCGCGGTGCGCGAGCACGTACCACCTGCGAGCCTCTCGTCCGTTGCCGCCCACGAGCCGTTGGGGTAAAGTACTTTGGTCACCTCACTTGGTGTTTCCGTGTCGCTGACATTCGTCCCTAGCACGGCCGTGCAATACCTCGTCAACCCAGACGCCGCTGCGGCTCAACAGACGGGAGTAGCGGAGGCGGGTTTGGGGGCGTTTAAGACCATGTTCGACGCGGCTGTCGGGTTGGACGAGCCCCCGAATGACATTTCCGGCGCTGCGTAAACGGCTTCCAGGGTTTAAGGGATACGTAACGCATTACTGTACATTACTGCATATGCGGACTCAACTCAATCTTGTAATGCAGTTTTAATTCTGGCTCTTGAGACCACGCGCCATGATGAAATCGATGCACATAGAGCGCAGAACGATCGTCAAGTCTCGCAGAGAGGACAACACGCAGGAGATTTGTATAAAGACGATATGCGTGCGCACCTATACCATGTTTCTTAGCCCATACCTGATGTAGCATGGAGCAGATCTAGACACATCGGGTCTCCACAGCGACAATAGTCCACAGTGAGAATAGGTCGCCAGGACCGCAGGAAAGATGAGATACAGCGACACGTCGCACATACCTACTCGATCCCGCTGCCTGCCTGCACTGGGAAAAGAGCGTGATGCCATGCGAGAAGTGGGGCTCTCGGCTGCGGGAGTGTTTCGCAGGAGTCGTTATGGGTGGATGAACGAGAGTATATAATGTACGACATGGGTCAAGGAGAAGGTTCGTTTGCGTCCATGAGATGAGAGAGACAGAGGGTGCATCGGCGCTTCAGCTCCCACTGCCCAGCGGAAGAGAGACTAGGTGGCAGTGAAGAAGCGCGTGCCACGTGTTATGGACCTCCTCGGCGGACCTCCGTTCCAGGTCGACGATCAATAGCTCTACATTACGCTCTGACCAAGGTTATTCCAGGCGTACTATCTATTCATCGTAACAGTTTAAAACAAGGTATATGCATTACGTTCTCCTACTTGTGTACTCACCTTGCCTGTATGAGGTTTGGTTGGCTGCCGAGAGTCGCGTTGGCGATTGAGATGACACGGCAGGCATTTCGGGGTTTTCGACTGGGGAGAAATCTATGAAAAGGCGAGGCACGAGGTAAGCCATTCCTGAAGATGTGGCTTTTCTGAACAATAGCTTTTCGAAACCCGGGTAAATCAGCGGGTGGTTGCCTCCTGCCTCACGTTTTCATCGACTTTTCTATGCACGGAAACATGGGAATGTCTGCCGTGTGAAGGACCTGAGGAGCAATGCGTCATACTGGTTGACGAGGACGTGGGTGCGGCGATATGATGGAATCATAGCCGAAGCTTTATACAAGCTGACTCGTTCAGCGTGATTGCCCTTCCGAAAGAGGCATGAGGGAGGACTCGGTAAGCATGCACGCGCTCCCGACGCCTGGCGAAGATCGACTGATGTCCGCGCACTTCAGATTCAGATGTATCCTCAATGAATGGCATATTTGAAAATAGATTGCTGGTGGCCCCAATTCATGGATCATATATTCGGTCCTGTTGTTCGTATGCGGGCGGGGTCTGGCCTTCCTCCACGCTTGCTGGCGGACGGATCCCGTACTGACTCATAATCGATGAAAAAAGAGCTGGAAATGGTAAGTTGTAATGTGTTCGCGTATGCCTCCGTACGCGCGTAACAAAGCCTCGTGCCCCAAGAGCAGTGAGCTATACAGATTGAGCCACCGGGTACGCAGGCCGGCCCATCCGGACTTTCATTGTCCTCTCCGCACGCTTTAGCGAGCCCATATGGTCACTTATAGAGTGACGTATTCTCTTCCCCTACTCCTCATATACTTGCACTTGCTTCGCTTGCAGCGGGACTCGCCTCCCGCACACTCGACCACCCACCATGCCCGGTGAGCGACCCCGTGGCGTCCAAGAAACTCCCCGCAACCCCCGCACTGTGCGCAGTGTCACCCAATGCGTCGGAAAGTTGACGCTTGCTGCGTATCGTGCCCAGTCCGTACTTGACTGTGCAGATTGTGTGGTCGAAACCCAGGATGTCCAAGAGTTCCTCACCGAGCTCCTTCCCTTTCCTGATTATCAGGGACGTCGGCGCAGGATTCCCAAGCGGCCCAAGGTGAAGGCCTCTAACCACCCGTTCAGCACTCTCGAGAAAGCCGACTCGATGTCTGAGAACAAAGTGGTTAGGCTGTTCGTGAGTGCTCCTGTCCGCTTTTCTCGTCTCGGTGTCTCACGTAACCACCAGGCAGCTGCTGTCAACAAACACAATCTCGCCCCTGGCTTGGGCATGGCGCGCTGCCAGAACAAACCAGACAAAGCGCCAAAGAAGAGGCGGAGGAAGGGAGAGGAACCGGCGGAGCCTCCGAAGGTCGACACGATGCGCCAGAAGGTCGATGCCGCGTTCTATAGGGCCGATCGTGTCCCGAAGGATAGTCGTCCTCACTGGGCAGACCAGATCGTCCCCGCTGAGTTCAAGAGTGGCAAGCGTGGCAGGGCTGCAGACCCCTTCGCGACCAAGGCAGAACACGACGATGCCGACGAAGAACAGGCCACGGATGTGGATGAGCAAGACGACGATGAACTGGACGATGAGGCTGAAGAGCTTCCAGAGCTAGAGGAGATGGAAGAGGAGAAGGGCGATGAGGACGAAGAGGATGACGAAGATGAAGATGAGGAGCCGGAGTCGGGTGCCGACGACAAACCCAACGTCGACGCGCAGGCCACCAAGGAGCCTGGAGCTCAGGCTACCCCTGCCAAGGACGTCTTCGGGCAGATCACTACCTATGTCGACCTCCTGCAAGCAGTCCAGCACCGAACCGCCGTCTTCATGCTCCTCGTCATTGGCCGACGCTTCCGCATCCTCCGCTGGGATAGGGCAGGGGTCATAGTCACGCCTTCCGTCGACTACTACGAGGAGCCCGATGAACTATGCGACTTCCTGTGGCGCATCTCCCATGTGTCCGACACCACCCTCGGCTTTGACCCCACTGCCATTCGTCTTTCACCCTCTGACCCCGACTGGGTCAAAATGGAGGAGTACGCAGTAGCTCTCGAGAGCGACGTCTCCAGCGCACCACGCACTCTGCAGCCGGGCGAGCTTGAGCAGCCCGCTCCTGGTTCTGAAGAATCTCCTGTCGTTTTCGACTACGTTCGGACGATGTTCGCACAGTCCATCGCGGACCGTCGGTGGCCACGCTACAGGTTGAGTGTATGCCAGGGCTCTAACCATCAGGAGTTCCTCGTCGGCAAGCCCACTTTCTGTGCTAGTGGGGCCATCGGGCGGGGTACTCGTGGTTTCGTTGCCATAGACTGCCAGACTGGTTGCTTCGTGTGGCTCAAGGATGCCTGGAGGGTGTCTTACGAGAAAGTCGAGCCGGAAGGCTCCATCCTTGCACGTCTTAACGCCGACCCCGAAATCAAAGATGTCCCGACGCTGTTGTGTCACGGAGACGTACTCTGCCAGAAGACCCTCACTGCTACTTGGTGGGAAGCGGCGAATCCTCTGCCGTCCACCAGAAAATCCAAGAGATCCAAGAATGCGAAGAACGCCATGGAGGCTGCGCCTTCCTCCACCTCAGATGGATCACGTGGAGTGAAGCGCAAACGGGAGGACGAACCCGAGTCGCTCGCTACCGACTACCGTGCCGATTGTCCCATGCGTCAACACAACCACTACCGCGTAGTGGTCAAGGAAGTGGGTTTGCCACTCAAGAAGTTTCGGGATGGAATTCAGCTTGTCCACATCCTCTTGGATTGCCACACCAGTGAGCGTCCTCTCATTGTATTGCCTGCCATCCAATCAGCCCTAACGGAATTCATCTACATAGCACATGGACTAGCGGCGACGCGTCCCGGTATCAATATTCTCCACCGTGATATAAGTGATAGCAACATCATCATTGTTCCGAAGGTTGTTCAAGCCAACTCTAATTCCCCACGGCTCCTCAACTGGACAGGCGTACTCACAGATTGGGAGATGTCAAAGCCCACTGCCTCGCATGGGGATTTGACTCCCGCACGTCAACCTCTGCGATCGGTACCTCTTCATCAGAGATTTGGTTTCATGAAGCTTGTCCTAATGATTCTGTGCACAGGGCGACTGGCAATTCAAGTCTGCGTACTTGCTGAACAACAGCGGAGGAACAACAATCCCGGATGAGTTGGAGTCAATCGTCTTGATACTTATCTACTATTGCGTCCGATATCTCGACTCGAGCATAGAGCGTCATAGTGCTGTGGCCACCTTTCTCGATGAGTTTTACGATTGTTTCACAGTACAAGACGGTGTGGTCAAGTGCGGCGAACGCAAGGCGACGTTACTCGCCCAGGGGCAGCTTGTACATTACGATCCGGCAGAAGGGCTCATTCCAATCTGCTTCAACGCCTTCCCATTGGATTACCTCATCGCCCAATGTCTCAGACGCTTCTCCGCACGTTACAAGATCCTGCGCCATCAAGCCTGGACCAAACGCCACACCCATACGACTCCCAGTGTTCCGCCGGTGCCCCGCGCATCCGGTGACGACTCTATTCGCTCCTACTTCCTCAACAAGCACAGGACGGCTAACGACGAGTTCAAACAAGCTCGATACGAGGCAGTGCCTGACCCTCCAACCGTTTCGTCTACAGCTCTTGCAAGCAGAGAGCCTCCCAAGCCAACTCAAGAAGACGAGAAAATGGCCATGGACATTGAAGACCACGAATGGTTTAGGTGGATCGTCTATCAATGCTTGACGTTTCCTGGCTGGGAGAAGCTGCGGAAGGTCAAGGACCGTGTTCCCAAGAACTGGGAATCTCCACACTCTCCGATACCACGCGAATTGTTCTCGGCAAGGTCAGGTCACAGCCGTTGATTTCTCAATCGATAGGGTAATCATATCAACGTTCATTGTTATGATTATGTTCAATATGCCTATGCCTTCCGTCTCTGTCTCGGTTTAATGCATATGTATACAGTCGTTTACCAAGTCGATTGAATCATAGGAGATATACTCGAGAACAATCACAATGAATGTTAGCGCAACGGAGCGGTCCAAAGTGACTTTCCGCTTATTCCCAAATGATTCCTCACGACTCATACGCATGCATGCATGTGGCACAACGCGCTTTTGATCCCGCTTCTGGTTCCGCTGGCATCATCGGAGCTTTCCCTCGGCGTTTGGTCCTCAATTGCGAGTGCGACGTCGAAAGTAATCTTGCGGCTCTGCTACAATAGCCATTGTATCCGAGATACTCCCACGAGTATGCATTTCAAGTATTCGTATTCTCCATTACTGGTTCAGCGGCAATGCACAAACATGACGCGTCTCCCTAGTCACGGACGGTAGGACTACTAGGTATAGCTACGCACTACTCACTGACAGAGTATCAGACTTGAGTGGTATAGTATCGATACTAACAGTCTCACGATCGGACTTGATCCACAGGTCCGATAGGAGCGTAGACTCGATTTCTCATTCCTGGTGTACTACATAAGTCACGAGATGAGCACAGAGCGCTTTGGCATTTGTCCAATAGGCGCCTGATGCTTTGGGCTGGCCCAGATTATCCCAGTATGGTAAGCAATACACGTGGGCCGCTAGTAGGAATCCGAACATTGTTCCTTTCTCGCCTTGTTCATCGCTCCTTCCTTTACAACCACGAGGACGCTGTCCTTCAGCGAACTAGAGCGGCGACCACTCGTACCTATCCTTCTCTCACTACTCGAGGTAGTACGCCCCTCGACACACTCATCATGGCGACTTCAGCTGTTCATCTAACCACCGAGGAATTTTGCCAAGAGTTCCTGTCACATCCGAGCGATTACCCTACTCCCGGTGCGGGATTCAACCCATTTTCTGCATTACAGCATGCAAACAAGAACTCAGGAAACAATGTCGCGGAGCTGATCGTAAGTGTTCTCTAGCGTCGTGACACTTCTCGGTCGCTGAGCTGATTTCTGGGATAGATTGCTGCAGTCAATAGCCATCTTGCGCCTGGATCGACGGCTTCTGCGTACGGATACCTTCCAGAATGCTCCACGGACAAGGCTACGCAGAAAACCCGTTCGGCGTTATTCCGAACCCATTCGATTCCCACAAAAGGACATCCTCTCTGGGCCGACCAGATCGTTCCCATCCATATCCAGGCTCACCGCCGCGGCATCGATCCTTTCGAGAACGCTGAACAGCAAGACGAATATGGCGAACTAAGACAAGCCAGAAAGCGGGTCTTTGAAAGTATCTCTGCCGTTGCAGATGTCCTCTTCGCTGCTCAACAACGTGTATTCCTCTTCACGCTCCTCTTCATTGGCCGCAAGTTCAGGCTCCTACGCTGGGATCGTGCCGGCGTGGTGACGACCCCCGCTACAGATTACTACGAGCATCCGCATCTTCTATGCGACATTCTCTGGCGCATTGGCCAAATGGATGACGACGCGCTTGGCTTCGATCCTAGTGCCACTCGTGTCCTTCCTGGTGACATTGACTTCACGCGAATGGATTTTGCCGGCCTCAGGACCGACACTGACTTGAGCTATGAGGAACGTCGACTTGAGGAGTCTGAAATTGGCCCTCATCCAGTCTTCGAGTACGTTCGCTCTTTGTTCAGGACGTCGCTCTCCGACGACTGGCCGCGCTACAAGCTCCAGGTGAGCGACGGGAAGATCGAGCGCGCTTACCTTGTCGGCAAACCGACCTTCCGCGCTCCCGATGTCTTTGGCCGTGGTACGCGTGGTTACGTCGCCTACGAGTGCGAGACGGGTCGTTTCGTGTGGCTCAAGGACGTGTGGCGCGCGTCGTATATGATCACAGAGACCGAAGGCCAGGTTCTTCGAAAGCTCAACGCTGCTGGCGTGGAAAATGTCCCAACTCTCATCTGTGAAGGCGACGTCCGCGATCAAGCTACAATTACGGCGGACTGGTGGAAACGCGCACGTGCTCACGCCTCAGCCTCGCTTCACGTCTACCCTTCCTCGCCTCCCTCGTCCTCTTCCGCTACCCTGGTCGGCACCACTTCTCCGACAACCAAGAAACGGAAGATGGCGGTGGAGCCCGAAAGGGCTTCCACTACATCTAAGCATCGCAATCCACGTCGTCGCGGGACTCTTTCCTCCGATTGTCCCCTTCGGCAGCACAGTCATTATCGCATTGTCGTCGAGGAGGTGTGTATGGCATTGAAGAATTTCAAGTATGGGGGACAGCTAGTCGCGCTCGTCTTGGACTGCTTACTAGGTAGGTCACAACCTTCATTTTGCTTGTGGTCTTGGCTGATGGCTATCTCTGCAGCGCATCGTCAAGCGGCCACACATCCGGAGACACGTATTCTTCACTGCGACATCAGTGGCGGAAACATACTCATTTACCCGAAGATCAAGCGAGATCGGGAGGGGAAGGACCCCGCTCTTATTTGGACGGGTATCTTGACCGATTGGGAGCTGTCGAAGTCGGTAGATGCTCAGGAAGCGGCTTCTAAGGCTACCCAGGTTGATCGTATGGTGCGTTCTCCATCAGTTCTATTGCGCTTCACCGGCTGACAGCAATACACTCCCAGGGGACGCTTCAGTTCATGTCGGTCAACCTACTCACCCATATCAACAAGCCCGTGACTATTGCGGACGAGCTGGAGTCATTCTTCCACGTCCTCGTCTACTATGCCGTCAGCAATCTCCGCTCGAACTGCACTGGCATCGCCTCCTGGATCGACAACTTTTTTCACAACTATGCAGGTCCCGAACGCATGTTGACGTGTGGCCCGAAATCGGTGATCATGGAGATGACTGGCTCGCTCGAGACTCGCTCGCCGCCAGGTCCCTTACTCTTCTATAGTCCCATGGACAACGTTCTCGCTCCTATTCTCACAAGCTTGAGAGCGCATTACAAAGTCATGGCGTACGAACGTGCTAAAGCTGCTCCCCGGAGAACTCGACCGAGAACTCCCCCACCCCCGCCGCCGGACCCTGCCCCTCCGAGGCTCCTCCCAGAAATCGACGAGAGCAAGTACAACCCCGAGGATCTCGCACGTTGGAAGGCTTCCTTGAAGGCCGGCATTGTTGATGACTTCACTCCCACTCCAGAGGATCGGGAGCTCGCGGCAAATCTTGTGGACCACAAGTTTATGCTCAACCACCTCTCTGACGCACTTGGGAGCCGGTATTGGCAAGGCGACGACCGCATACCTACTACTAAGGACTCTGAGCCTGCGTCGTGCTGTGTCAGCGGGTCGCCCTTCGAAGCCGCAGCACCGAGAGATGCTAAGAGGCAGCGAATGTCAGAACCCGAGCGCAATGTGTCATTGCCCGCTCGTCTACATCCGTCTACTCGACGTACGCAGATCCGCACCCGCACCCACCCTCTTCGTGCTCGAAGGTAGCCTTGGTATTGCTGACTAGGTCGTTCACGTTGCTTTGACGTGGATTTTCATACTGGTGATACCCCATCACATATGTTACTCCTAACACATACCTCACTCCTCTACGCCTCCACATCCTGTCGTTCTTGCGCCGTCGCCTCTCCGTCTCACTGAGGGCTGCATCTACATCCCCACCGCTTGCGCCACGTCCTCTTCTACACTCATCGCTCGCGCGGTACCTCCTCTCATCTCATTACGTCGGCGAGCTCTTACTTACCCTGCCGTTCGTCGAATGCGTTGCGCAGATCGAACATAGCTCATCCTTTGAGCTGCACAATGTATCATAGTATCATACCCCCATTGTAGAACACATCCATCCCTAGAAGTACGAAGAATTTCCTTCTCATCCTTGATATCGGTGTGATCCGTGTAAGCTCGCGCTTCAGATTTCATCTTCGCTAGCTATGATAAGTCTGTGTGAGCGGTACATGGAAGGGGTCAGCTATCCTTCAAACCGAAATGGTACCAACCTGGACAGTCTTTCTCACGCGGCTTCTGCGCCGCAGTCAGAGATCTAGACGTACCGGGACTCAGTCTCGATATCACTTCTTCGACCTATGCATGTGGCTGCTCCCTGTGATGCGAGTCGAACTGCTCGCCTGCTCTCGCTTCCCTCATAGAGAAGCGGGAAATCTGATCCGGATGTTCAATCAGCGATGTGAAGACGCATCCTTTCAACCACGAGGTTCGAATGCAAGCCTGTCACAGCTCACGCAACGGGCGAAAGTCATGCGCGTCTCGGAGTGAGTCACGTACTATAGGAGCAAGCTAACAATCCAACTATATATGGGTACGTATGCAGCATGAGGAATAAAGCAACGTGCCACAATGAGACGAGGGGAGCAAAAGATCACATCGAACATGGCCAGACCAGTTCACAGTAGGTGCGCGTGTGTGAAAGCCACCGAGTTATACACACATCAGTCGAACGTCGTGTCCCGTCTATTCTGAGCTGAATGATGCGCACACCACGTCAGATTACCCCTGATGGAGAGTATCATACGGCCACATCTGTGACAATGGGTTGGCACATTACCTACGAGCGAAGGAAACCGATCAGCCAGCACATTAGGCAAAACGCCTGCGGTCGGGGGACCTCGGCACGGTGGCTACCAGCTCCGCCGCGCGACTGGGATCAACGAGTGTAGCTATCCAGTTGAGGACAGCCTGGAAACCACTCCCGACGAGGACTGCGCCAACGTAGGCATCCATAAGGTAGCGCGTCTCCTGCCCTCGTACAGCCAGCGTTAGCGTGGGCGACCTCCCTCAAAGGCAAATTGGCTAGTACGTACTTCCGGTGTTCGGAGGTCCACGTCGTTCGCGTGGCGCACCATTTCCCGCCATTTGTACCCTTCCACCCACTTCTCCACTTGCTCCTGCAGTTTGCTCACCTCCTCCTGGATGACGAAGCGCTCATGAGGCGGATGAACGCGTCGATTGACATGTGAAGCGCACCTCGAGCGCTTCCGCGGTCGGCAGTGGGTGTTTGTTGGAGGAGATGAGCGCGTAGGCTGCCTCCAACGCTCTCCCTCCGATGAAGGCGAGTCTCTTTCCGTCTCCGTAGGGAGTGTTTGCGTCGAGCGGGGCATCATGGAACCTGACTGAGGAATGAACGAAGATTTGGAGCATCGCCTCGCCGTCGATCTGGGGAGCAGGAGGTAGTAGAGACTCGGCAGCCATGGCAGCTGTGCTTGCCGCCATGGATGGACGATGCGTGTGGAGTGGTAGGAGAGGGATGTGAGAATTTGAGGATGGAGGAGCAATCTAACGCTTTGCAGAGTGCTGAAGGCTTATAAGCCGTCCCGTCGTGCTGCGGTACTCGACAGTGCTGGGATAGTGTTACGGAGATGAGGCTATATTCGAGGATTGGTAGAATACTGCGGTAGACAAAGTCCTTCTTCCGCGCGCAGTCGCGCGGCTTGGTAATATGCTTTATGATTCCATCCGAAGACGAGGAGAGATTCCTATGGTTATCACGAATTGGAATGAGGGCGGAAGTAACAGCGACAGCATTGGCACTCACAGATCCTCGCGAGGAAGGTAGCACTCCAAAGGTTAGAGTCCCAGCCAAGTCTTGAGTGCATATCAGGCTGTTAGAGGGTCTTCTTTCTCCGGCATGTGAACCTCACCTCCGTTTGAAGTTTCTACTCGCCACGTCACTAGTTGGCATGGCCCATGATGATTATGAGATAAGAATCGGGTTACGAGTTGCCAAAGCATGAGAATAAGGGCAAGCATGGTATGTTTGCTTTAAGGCTATGCCTTAGGTTTGGTAACCGCAGAACGATTGAAGAGGTACGAGTATTAGCTGTTCAAGTTCTTGCCGGTCGCCTGAACGAGAAGGAGAGACAGACGCTAGGAATTGACGAACTGAAGAATGTGCATGTGATCCGGGGCGGCTAAGTATCACAATCTGATATCACGTGCGCTAAGTTCCGGACTCCAGACGAAAGGGACAAATGGTCGGGACACGTAGACCTGATCTCCATGAACAGCACACAGGTAAGGCCTCCGTCTGAATCACCCTCAGAATTTCACGGAAAGCAGGCTCTGACGTCTTGTATCCTCAGCGGTCTCTTCCGACGCAACTTTAACTTCCAAACGTGCCCATTGCGACACGCAAAAAAGGAGCTGAAGAAGTTCGAGGACAAGCGGGCACAAATGGGATTCGTGTTTGGCCGGTGCAAACGTGTGCCGTACACAGTAGATACAATAAGGCTTATATGTTGGAATCCTGGCGTCAAGATGGCGAGCTCGCGGAACGAGCGCCACAGGTCCCGCGCCCCGACGGATACCCGCGCCCTTATCTACCCCTATTTAGCTACGTATATAAGCCTTATTGTATCTACTGTGTACGACACGCGTTTGCACCGGCCAAACGCGAATCCCATTTGTGCCCGCTTGCCCTCGAACTTCTACACAAATGCGTCTCCTCTGCCCGAAGGATAATTCGAGGCACTGCCTAGTGGGGCCGAAGCCACTCGACGATCCCGCGAACCGACGACCCGTGACGACGACCGACCCGACGACGACCGACCCGACGACGACCGACCCGACGACGACCCCGTGCACCCCGACGACCCCGTAACCGTGACCGCCCCGCGCTCCCCGCTGCTCCCGCCCCGATGGCACCGCCCACAATTGCGAAGCTCGCCGATGACAACTACGCCGAATGGGTTATCGGCATGGAGGCCCTCCTTGTTCGCAAGGGTCTCTGGGAGGTTACGAGCGCCCCTGCTGATGAAACCCGCCCCTCCGGCTCTGATAACACGAAGGCTGTGCGTGCCTGGCGTGCGAAGATCGCAGAAGCACGCGCCGAGATTATCTTGAATATCGAGCCCACCCAGTACGCCCACATCCAATCACAAGACGTTCACGAAGTCTGGACCGAGCTCCGTCGCGTCCACCGTGCCCGCGGCTTTGGTACCCGGGTCGCGCACCGGCGCGCTTTCTGGCGCTTGTCTAAGCGCCCGGATCAAACGATGACATCGTGGATTGCTGACGTCCGCCGGGCCGCCTTCCGCCTCGAGGAGATTGACGCCTCTATCTCCGATGAAGACCGCATCCTCGTTCTCACGAATGGCCTCCCCGATTCGTACTCTCAGCTGGTCGTCAATCTCGACTCTACCCTGCCTAGCGAGCTTACCATCGATTACGTCATCACCCGCTTACTTAACGAAGAGTCGCGCCAATTGTCCCTCAACCCGCCTCATCATGACTCCGAAGTCGCCCTTGCTGCTTACACGAAG